ACTGAGAACAAGAAAAAGGAGCTAGAGCAATTGGGCAGCAAGCCAGTTGTTTTTCAAGCTCGCCGGTGTGCGCTCAAGTCTTGTGGTGGAGTCCTAGATCTCCCTACGGTTCATTTCCTCTGCAAGCATTCTTTCCACCGGCGGTGTCTGAACAAGGTCGATGAGGATGCCGAATGCCCGGTCTGCGCTCCTCAGAACTCCACTATCAGAGCTATCCGCAAGAGACAGGTTGAGTCGGCGGATCAGCATGACCTGTTCAAAGGGGAACTTCAACGGTCTAAGGACGGATTTCGGGTTATCAGTGAGTTCTTCGGCAGGGGGGTAATGCGGCCGCAGAATACCATGGAATGATGAAATGTCTGTAATGCCTACATCATGATACCTTCTTGTATTTAGATTTCCTGTTTCACACAGACATACCCAATTCCAGTCAGTTCGTTCCTTGATACCAAATGATAAGTGATAGGGATGGCCGTCTTATCATCACGTGCCCGCGCGTCTGCTCCGCAACCAATCGATCACGACGCGTGATAAGCCATTCCATGTCCCGTATCAATGCATAGCGGGCAACACCTTTTTTTTTGTGGCAATAGGACCCCCCTTCGTCTACTAGATATAAGCCAGACCAATGTCCCACCACCGTGTAATTCAAGACTCCGATGACGACGACGATCCCTTGGCGGCGGACTTCCCTCCTCCCGCCAACCCACCACACCAGACCGATAACACTTTGACCCTCAATTCAGACATACAAAGTATCCCCGTAAGGGCACAAGTGCGAGAGCCCAATCACCCGATCACGATCAATTTCGACGAGTTCCTCCAATCTCAGGAAGCAGCACCAACTGGACCATCTTCCTCGCAGCAGCGGAGAGAAGAACGATGGATCCCGAATGAGGTGGGCGGCGGCGGATCGATTGGTGAGCAGTCCTCCTTATCGGAGGCGTATAGTATTTACCTTACTAACAATGTAAGGGTCAATGATGACGGAGATTGGCCTTGCACAGCGACGACTTTTCGATGATGACGAAACTCAATACGCTGGTCGACAGCTTATTCCCGAGACTGCTGCGTCAGTACCGTCGCAGCCTAATACGATGCCTACGGATGAAATGACTCTTGTCCCAGTTATTGAGATCGTCGGTCCACGGGAGATGGGATACATCAACAACGAGGGTGGCCCGGATTATATGTACCAGACCAGCGACACAATCGCCTATCAATACGCCGAAGCAGAGCAACAACAGCAAGTTCTCTCGAGCAATGGATTTTCCCAATCAGCGGCTTCATATAACCTTTTCGAGTCCTCGTTACAACCATCTCGGAGTCCCAGTTCCGATAATATCTCACACTTGAGACCCACCGACACCCTACAGGTCGAGGGACAACATGGTCCGCGAAGGTGGAACTCAATGCAAGATATGCTTTCTTCACCGCATGATACCGAGCCGAACTCATCGTTACTATCGGCCAAAGCCAGTCGATCGAAGAGTGACAATGCTGCGTTGGACGTGGTACCGCAGTTATATTTGCAACAGCAGCAGCAACGTGCAGCGAGTCCCGATGATCTACCTCGCCTTATCGCTGTTGAGATCCCCGCAGAACCCAAGAAACGGGGTCGTCCGAAGAAACAAACCGTACCGGAGGCTGCTGAAAACCACGAACATCCTCAACAAGTTGTCCCAGAGGCCGGCGAGATAATCAATAACATCGATAATAAACCCGAGAAGCGCAAGCAGGGCCGGCCACCCAAGAATGCGAAAGCCGACAGCTTGAACCAACAAGACCAAACCAACCCTATACTCAATCAACCAGAAGCAATCCCACCCTCACACGAGCCAAAGCCTCCATCCAACATCCTTCCACAAGAACACCCAGAAAACAGCGTCCTTCACATCGAGCTCCCCCAAAATAACCACCACCTCCCATCAGAGCAAACGATCCCAGAGCCCATAAAATTCACAACCCCACCAACAAAAGAACCGAAAAAGAAGAAACTCAAACGCGGCAAAACAACCTCCATAACCCTAAAGAAAACATACGACCCAGACATCGAACCCGACGTAATCTGGATCGACGAAACAACCCCGAATCCCAATCCTCAACTCCCCAATACTAGCGAGCCACCACACCCTTCAACCGGCAAGCAACCCCCAGCAACAACAATAGTACAAGTACAACCTGACCCACCCAAGAAACGCGGCCGCAAGCGAAAAAAGACATCCGACCAACAACAAGCCGTAGAAGAAACACCAACAGCCGACACCACCCATCCCAACCTTAAACAAAGCCAAGAGCCGGTCTCGGTTACAGAAAACAGTACACCAGAAACCAACAACCTCAACCATCTTCCCCACGATAATCCAGGAGATAAGTCTCAACCCACGCCACCACTAAAGATAAATGAGAATCCACCGGAGACACCCAAGAAAACCGATCGTGAGCCCAAAACGACTGGAGCCTCAAATACAGAAGAAGAGTCAGGCAAGATGTCGAGCAAAGGCCCGGGGAAACACAGTCCGATCTCTACGGGCACGGTACCCTATCGTGTTGGGTTGAGTCGGAGGGCTAGGATCGCTCCGTTGTTGAAGATTGTTAAGCGGTGATTTGCTCTTTCAGTGCTCAATGACCCTTCGTTCTGTGGACATTTTCAATGGTCTACTAGATCTTAATCATATAGTTGAGTTTGTCGACAAGCTTACCTATACTCTGTTATCGATAACTGGCATTTTCTTACATTGTATATGATACAAAACACCGCAATGGCACGGAATGTACTAATGTCAAATGAAATGAGTCATGAATTCCGATCTCAATTAACGAGTGTACCATATCATTTCTAAGGCTTTATCCGGACAAACCGTCGGGGACAAGGAGTATTAGTGAAAGAATAAGCTAACTACTTACAAGAATCAAACGCTGACAAGCTGGTGTAGAACATAGTCCTATTGATAAGTCCTTATCATTATACCAAGCTTTCACCATCATGCATCACGAACCAGTGCAGCCACCAAAAAATTCACACCAACAATGTCGCTGCTGCTAGCAGTATCGAACCCGCCACATACACACCGGGCCGCGCCAAAAAGCCCGCATCTGATTTTGCGGGACCCTTTTGAGGTGCGGGTTCGTTCTCGTAAACAATGGCTGTGTGTCGAACATCCATACAACGGCCAGCACTGGGCTGGCAGCCGATTCCGCAATGCTTAGGAGTATTCCCACATTCGTTGTCCCTACCACAGCATGCTCCAAATTTCGAACCCTTGCACGTAACATTCGCGCCGCAGTGGCCAGTGTGAGAAATAACCTTATGCGCGGAAGCCGGATCAGTTGCCTTCCGCAGGATGCTGTCCTCGAACCCATCGTCCATACGGTACCAGTACTCTGGAGGATCACCAAGACACTCGCCGACAGTCACAATCTTGTAGCCATCCCTGGAGATTCTCTTCAGCATGTGCTCCGTAAAGTTATGAACAGTCTGCTCGTGCACGTCGTGGGCGATAACCAGCCAAGATTTATCAGACGCCTTTCCTCGAGCCAGATTCCTATCGAAGATATCCTTAGAACCTTGAATGGCACTTGGGCTGTCGTGACGGTAATCCTCGGTATCAATATCGTACAGAATTACGTGGTACCCCAGCGCACCCATATCCTTCAAACAGCCCGATTCCACCGTGCAACTTGAATACGGGGGCCGCATATATGTCGGAAAGCCGCCCAGGATATTGCGAAGCGCGACCTCGTTCCACAACATCTGGATCCGACGTTGTTCCGGCGTTATCTTGCTAAGGTCCTGATGAGACCAGGTATGACTCGCGATCTGATGTCCCGTACGGTGCATGCGCTCGATCAACGATGCCCATGGCATTCCCGGCGTATCAATGGGTCCTTTGGCATTATTGTTGCCGGTGATAAAAAAGGTCACCTTCGCGTCGTATTTGTCGAGCAAGTCGAGAAGGTTCTGAGTGTACTTGTTTGGACCGTCGTCGTATGTCAGGGCCACTTGTCCTGGCGCCGCGCATGAACGGATGACTTGGGGACCGTATGGGACCTTGCCAATCTTAGTTCGAGGGATGTCATCTGTCGGGGGACCGCCGGGGGTCATATGAGCGTCGCAGTAGCCAAAGTTGATCTGACAATCGGGTGAACGGCAGTGGTTTGTTGTATTGCCACAGTAGCCTGGGATGTTGTTAGCCTTGATTCTTTTCTTATATAGCAGGCGAAGACATGCCAGCAGTTGAACAGCAATTCTTGTCAGAGCACCTGCCAAAGCCGGGGCCACATCTGGCTTGTATATCCCGCTTTACTGAGGCTTGAAAAGCGTCATTATTTCCTTCGAATCCATGGGTTCTACTGGGCGACTTCAGGATGTTACGGGCGGATGAGCATACTACGACGCCGGCGACGACCAGAAGCCGACCGATGTGCATTTTTGAGGTGTTTCAGTTGGTGGTAGGTGAGGTGTATCTGATAATATAGACAGTAGAACAAAATGAGTCTGTATATGATGTTATGCTTGTGATAAGAGAGGGTGGTAGAGAAAAAAGAAAGCAGGTAAAGGAATCAAAACGAGAATACACCCTCTATGTTCATATGTTACAGACATTGCTCTCCGAGGAAAGCGCGATGCCAACTGACAGAATGGTAAGATGGATCAGCAGCAAGGATAGAAGTCCAGCAAATTGGCAAGAGCCAGTTCAAGCTAGTTATTCAAATCTAAGCTATGACTATGGCGCTCAATATATTTTTCGGTAACAATACTCTAGAAGTTCCGACAGGAAACGGTGGGTATGTGAAGTATTTGTCCAGGCATACAGCTTGTACACATACCTCAACTGAAGCAAAAATTGACAAGACTATTTCATCATTGTTATCATAATCTCATCTACATTGCTACACTCCATAAATGGGGTGTGGAAGTCACTGTTGATTCATTTCTATGTATGAAAGTTCTTCAGTATCATATAATATCACCAACGGAACAGCTTCCAACCAAGCGAGCCATCGTGGCGCAATCGGTAGCGCGTGAGACTGTAAGGCCAATCACATCTGAAGATCAGACCTTATCATCAATACTAATTCCTATTCCAGTCTATTATCAAATAGTCATCTCAAGGTTGCGGGTTCGAGCCCCGCCGGAGGCTTCTAAACATTTTTGATTTTTTTTTTCGTTTTTACGAACTTGTCGCTAAAGTCCCTTACCACATGGGCCCGGCCTACCTTCTGCTTGAGTCTTTGTTATAATTGGTAGGCAGTTCTTCTATGGTCACCCAATAGTGCTAGTATGATTACAGGCCAAAAGGAGGGTAAGGCAATCTCAATTCTACACAAGCCACAAGTGAACTTTTTGGCACGATGGCAATCTACCCCAGTGTTATGCCCAAGCTAACCACCTACTTTCTTAACGGTCCTCAGCCACAACCTAGATCACTTGCAGTGGCAATCAGGCTAGGCAGAACCTACCAAATACTATTTTCACCCAATGTACTAGGTATAAGGATGCCAATGGAAATGTGTCAATACACCATATAACAAGCAGATCTATGCTCATTACCCCGACCATAGAAACTGAACCATCCCATGCTGTATTACTATGCCAGATAGGCAGGGCCCTTCACATTTGTATATCTTCAAGGTTAACCTGTCTACAGCCTCTTAAATCTTAGCTTGACTAGAAGATAGTGTCTAACCTCCTATCATGTTCTTAAGCAAAGGGGGGTTTTTTCGATTTTTGGGACTAGCCACGCAGAGCGGATCTTCAGGCGGTGATCACTAGTAGACTCTGACTGACGTCCCCTGCGCCATATGGATCGAGAGGCTAGGGGTTTGCCTGGCCTAGACTGAGGATCTAGGAACTACCTTTTAGAATGCAGTATCTAAATTGTTGAGGGCAACAATGGATTTGTTGGCTTCAAGATAAATGCCTTGCTGCTTTTGATTTCAAGTACATGATTCACGTTCACTCTGCTCTTACAGTGTTATCACCTGGCCACAAGGCCTTCCTTATATAAGAGACAAATATATACAGTCATGATTGTTTTTTTTTTTTCAGACCCCCCTTTCTACTTCAAAGATACAACCGTGTCCTTCCTCCCCGCACAGGAATCTTAATGCTGCAAGATATGCGGCCTATGTGGGTTTATACCGAAAGACTACCCACGATGCGAAAGATCACCCAGAAATCCACTGTCCATCCAGGTTGAATGCACGCGTTCCGCAGTTTAGAAACAGCATAGGTATTCCTGGATAGAAAGGACCCATGCTACAGAAATAAATACAGGGATAAAGCGAACAAGATCTTTGGAAAGATCTCTAACCAGCATGATTATTTCTGTGGAATTCCCAAAGCATGATGAACATAGGTGATTTGTGATACCAAGAGACGTTCGTGAGTTCTGCAACACATCTCCATATCCTACAGATTATGGCCTAACAATGCTTCAGGATCTTACTCTACAGGATAAATTTGTGTTCCCGGACTTGGAGCCTCTGTGCAAACAGACAATCCAAGAAATAATTACAGGCCTCCTGCCTGGAGCAGACATGAATGAGTACCGGAAATATATCGTCCAGCACCTCGGTGTGAATGGAAGGTAAGAAATCCCTACTGAAACTCATAAGCAAGGATATCAGAGATCTCGAGGGCCGGGGAGTTACAAGAGCAACGCTACGCGCAATTCAGCGTAAGCGAAGAGATGCTGTATCTTGGACTCAACCTCTAGGTTATGCAAGCTTTATTACAGATCGCCGGCTCCCAGAATGGTGGCGGGTACGTATCGGCCAGGGCTCACATCTTTGGCGAAGAATCATCTGCCAGCATAGTCAGGCTATACTCCGAAGCTCGACTAGTAGTCTTCACTGTTACATACTATGGATGAGCAACAGTAATAGGACTGCGAATTTTATTAGGCTTTGGCAATTCCCGAAAGAGACATCCATTGATGACTCTTGCTAGGTCTGCTCTAATATACCGGAAGCCCTTTGCAAAACCTTCAAAGCCCACCATGGTTGGCCCAAGTCAATCTCCCGATTTTCAAATCAGATACTGGGCTGTGCTTAGGGGGGTTTTGAAACGAAAAAATTCAGAGAAAACCTCGCCCTATCTTTCAGTGTGATTATGATATAGTATTACGGAACGCACTCGGAGACAATGAGATTTTTCTTTCAGTGAAGAACTCCTTTGAGATGAACCCAAGCTCCGTTACAGTGCTAGCGATAGGCAAATCCATACCATTTGCGGGCAGCCTTTCTGCAGCTATTGGCCTTGTGCTAGACTATGCTGCCGTATCTGTCGGTGATAGCCCGATAGAGCCTCTGAATGATGAGTGCCTGGACATTGACATCCTATGGTCTATTCAAGGCTGCGGCTTTAACAAAAAGAATGTTCTCTTATGGACGCTTAACTTCAAGGGGTTTTCAAGCCTGACCCCTGGTGACTTTACTGGAATCGTGGAAGATAGCATGTGCGGGGGTTTACATAGAGAGCTCCTTCAACAATTTTCAACAAAGATAGTTCTTCTCTGTGGACCACGCGTGGAGAGATAAAAATGCTATGGATAACCACAGTCGATATACAATTGAGCTTCAGAGGTGAAAATATTCAGCCTACCTTGACAGAACTAATCGGCCCTATATCCGCTGTCCTGAACTGCCTTCAGAAGTTTGGTCTATTAGTCCGTCGCACTCTGCAAGGGTAAGCGACGTCATCCGGTTTGCAATCAACATACTGCACATCCCCAATATTAGACCTTACTTCATTGAATCTACTAGTATTATTGGCCATATTCCTGGTCAAGCCAGAAGAGAGCCGTTAAGGGGCACAGATATACGACAGACACTCTTGATATAGGCGTTAGGCTCTGGCTAGCTCGTAAGGGGATTGGGGAAGAGCAAGATATCCGCTACATCGAGACCATTGCAGGCTTGGCTTTCCGCCGCCAAATTAAAGTGATGAAGTCTACTGGAGGGCCAACTGTTTCTATTGAAGCAAACCGAGCGCAATTATGAGGCCCGACTTGAGAATCTAGCGCCTCTGGTACAAAAGGAAATTACGAATGGATTTCTTGATCTAGAGATTGATTCCCCGTCGAGATGGGATGATACTTTGCCCTGCAAGTACTGGAGAAAAGGCAGTTCCCGAAAAGGCCAAACAGCCGGAAAAAGTGGCGAGAGCTGTAGCCGACAAATTTGGCGAGATGAAGTACGAGTCTTTCGTAACAAGGAATACCAATACGTGGTGTAGTGCCTCTCGGTGTAACCTATGAAAGGTCTATCTCACTGAATTGTTACCCAATAAAAGTTCCACCCGACATGGAGACATGGACGTTGGGAATGACAGTGTAAATCCAGAAGCTTATACAACTAAGGCAACAAACGAAGATCCCGCCTGCCGTCTGCCCAAAAAAATAAAGCATGAAGCCCTTGGTGGGGCTCGAACCCACAGCCTCGAGATACCTCCTGTTATAGACTAGAGAAGGATTAGTATTTCTGATAACAGAAATGCTGGGATATGATTGGGTACTAACAGTCACGCATTCTACCATTGAAATACAAGGGCGACGGTTGGTTTCTTGATTTTGGAAAAAGGTATGATATAACTGACAAAATGTATATTCTAGAAAAGCAGTTATCTTGGTTTACCATCATTCGAAATATCTCCAAAAAAGAAAACGTCAACCAATACTAGGACTCATTTAGACTCTGGAAGCTTGATCCCTTTGTACCAGAATCGTCCTAGACGTCAACATCAAACCCGCCATTATTAAACACAGTTCGGCCTATTTTAATTAGAGAACAAGGGCGCGAAAAATGGTATATGCACAGAATAATTTCAGCTAGTGTCATTAAACTTTTTTGGTCTATAACTCTTAAGCCGCCACAACCTCGCCAACAGTAGCAAACACAAACGGGGCGAGTGTTGGAAGATGAGGGCCGAACTTCGCCGGGCTGCTTCTAGCAACACTACCGACTGTAGCGATGAGGTGCCTTCGGTGTACGACGCTGGTCTGCGGCGAATTAAATCTCTTAACAAGTTGGTCGACGAATGCACTAAATTGAAGCTCCGAGAAATGGGGGACCAGGGCAGAAATAGCGGCCAGCGCCCTTTTCGTTACCACGGTGCCAGCCGTGTCGTTGTCTATGATAGCCATCACTGATTTTTGGAGAGCTGTCAACTCCGCCTCTTTGAGAAGTGGTCCAAAGCAGGTGATGAGTTGAATCAAAACATCGATCGCATCACTGCTAAACCCTTTGGAAGAATCCTTTTCGAGCATTCCTTTGACCACAGAGCCTCTTCTACCAGAACGAGATGGAGTGGGACCGGTTAACCGAGGAATGAGAACTTTGGAGACAGCCGAGTAAGCCAGGGAAGCATCTTGACTGGGCGGTTGTCCAGCTTGAGGACGAGGAAGAGCAGTGACAATAACCCGTATAGCAGTATTAGGGACAGAGGTATCGATGGTTTGGGATGCTGTCAGGTTGGAGAGTTTCTCGAGGATTGTACTGAGGCTTTCGGAAGGGAGCCGATTCACAAGCGGGCCGAGACTATCAACGAAAGTCAGTTAGACATCTGCAATAGCTTGGTAAATACGATGAAGGATGGACTAACCATTTCAACGCTTGGTTTTGAACATCGCCATGTTGATCATCTAGAGCGTTGAGTAAGCCATCGGCTAGCCGTGATGAAGAAAACTGATCATGAGCTAAATATGAGGAACTAGGGCTATTGAGGATCCCCAGTAGGTCGTTCAGCGACATGTACCTCATGTCCGGGTCTGGATCGTCCAGCTTTGACAGCAGACCGTTGAGGTTCTGCTGGACTGCCTGTCGATCCCCCATGGCTGTTTACCCCGCACAGGACGTTTCAGTAGAAGAGATGGACTGGAAGTGGATTAGAGGATAGGTTTGAGATGTAAGAGAGCCTCGGTGTGAGATGTAGAGCGTCCAATACGGGGTGCCGATGTAGTGGGAGTTGAAAGGGGAGAGTAACGTCAGGAACCGTAACCTCTGAACGACTGTTATAGATCGAATTGGTATCGGAGCTCAATCAGTTGCGGCTAAGTGGGGTATAGTATCTACGGAATGATATAGGCCCCACTAATGCAGTTCATGCCTCAGGCATGTATATACTCACCTGTGCCGGGCCTACTTATATCTTCGTACACCCCAACATTTCGTCTCCGAATGAGTTATATCATTAAATCTCTATATATCTATTCACAGGATATAAAACCGTAATTACGTCAGGCGAATCCTCTTGACCAAAAACAATAAGGACGAAGAGACAACTATCCGCCTCGAGGGAAGACCAGCTCTAGTTTTCACTATCATCAAAATATGCAAGGATCGCCCAAGAATCGTATGGTTTGCTCTAGTGCCCAGAATATTGTCACTTGTTGCCATCTACACCCAAGGCAGATCGCCGAGTGCCCGCCGAAGAAGACGGGCCGGGGTTCGAGATTCCACATTGCTTGAGATCCTTATTTAAATTGAAGCTCTGCTGCAGCCAGCTGCCTGCATCGGCGATCGCTTGGCTGAGATTAAAATTGTCGGTATCTGGAAAGCGCTGTCGCCCTTCCTGAGCGGTAGGGGGTGTTGTCCCCGTCAAGGTCATCGGAAGAGCGCTGTGCTGCGTCTCATGGCTTGGAGACTGGCGGGGAACAGGACCTCGGTTTGAATCGTGACCGCTCTGCTGGCTATGCGACTCGCTGGAGGCAGATGAGGGAGATGGTGATAGCTTAAAGCTAGTAGTCTTTGGTTTTTTCCTACTCGTCATGTGCTTCACGGGGGATATAGTACGGCGGCTTTTCTTCTTTTCTGTGCTAAAGGTGAAAGGCGTAGCTGCATCAATCATGCATTGAGTGCTTAGCCATTGACCCCCTGCAGTGGCAGGTGCCTGAGCTCGAATCCCTGGGGTGGCAAGTCGATGGAAAGGAGTGATGTTGTTTGAATCTGGTGAAGAGACGTTGGAGGAGTTGGAATCTTGTGGTATCTCCGAGGATGCGATATTGTCATCCTGGCTCTCAAGATCGTTTTGAAATGACCTTTGCGCGAGAAGGAGAGCTGCCTGGGTGGAGAATTGTGGATCGGGGATAGTATCGCCGTCATCCTCTGAGTTGCCTCTCGGTACAGCAATCGAATGCAATGATGTGATGTCTGTCATGGTTGGGTTTCCACGCACTTGTTGAGCCGATGGCAATTTTTCACTTGTGTTCCCCTTGTTTACAGTGCTAGTAGATCGGAACTTTGCTGAATGAGAAACAGATATATTCCCAACAGCATTGGTGGTGCTGGTCGAAGTGAAAAAGTTCTTCAGGTCTTTGTCGGCCTCGACTGGGCCATGTCGGATGGGATGGGCCCAGCGCAGATCTTGCGGTGCCGACACCTGCTGCTCCGACCGTTCACTGCCTTTAGCAACGGAAGATAAATGTTGGTCTTTCCCGACATCCAAGCTCACAGCGACAGGAGATTCAGTGCTCTGCTTCTCATTCAAAACATAAGGCTTCCTCCGACGGTATTCAAATTCGGGTAGATGCGACGATGGAGCAAGGACGCAGAATGCACTATCCTGAGCCGCTGCTCCGGCAGCGGTTTCAGGCATTACAAGACCAGAAAGGCTCTGATCTTTGGCTGGTGAAGAGGTGACACTGTTTGAGACGCGATTGGCTCCGAGAGACTCAGCGGCTGGGCCGTCATGGGCGGGTGAAGAGTATATGCCCCGTTCTCCATTTTCCGTCGAGGTTGAAAAGTCTTGTTCAAATGACCTAGTCTGACTGTCGACCGGCGCATCCTTGGAAGCGCGACTCTTGGTAGAGTAGCGGGACGACAGTGTCGTTGTAGGGGATGTGGGCGGGTCAACGTTCTGAAAACTAATCTGTTTCCGGTCTTTCTTCAACCAGTTTTCGTCAGTGTATCTGAAAGAGCTTGAATGGTGCAGTTGTGCATTAGAATTGATTGTTTTCGACCATGGTATCGATATCCTGGGTGTGCTCGGAGATCCTGGCCTCCTATCACGTTTAGCGCTTAAGCGGCTGAGGTGAGTATCATTGTCAGCTTCCGCTACTAGACCCCTGTTGCGACCTGAGACAAGGAAGTCTGAAACTGGAGCGATTGTGTGTGATCTTGAATTGCGCACTTCCGGAGGTTCATGGTGTGGTCTCCGTTTCCGGGAATGGGTTTCTTGTATTACGGGGCTTGCTGGAATCTCGGTCTCGTTAAGTGATCGTGCGATATTACGGCTAGCTGGAACATTCCGTTTCCTGTTCGTTTTCCATGGATTCACCCAGCCTTTGTCTAGAGGTCCCCGTAGTGAAGCGGAAAGAATAAAGAGGGGTCTGCCCTGGAGATATGACTCGGCAAGTTTCTCGATCCTCCGACGTTGCGCAGCACGTTCTTCTTCGGTTAGCTCGTCGTCGGAACCGATGATCCCATCGGCATCTAGATCTGACGTTGGAGGGGAGCATGTTTCCAAAGAGAGCGGGGAAACCGGTCGACGAGGTGGCATCTGGGTTGGATGGGATCATTAATGGGTCTTATTGTTTACAGTGCTACAGTGGTAGAACACTGACTGCATCTGAGCGACTGAGGAGGTGAGAGTTAGGCGCGGCAGGAGGATCCTCATATCTTTTGCGACGAGAGGTTGTTTGATCTTGGGATGAGGCGATAATTGTCTATTTGCCCAACGTCAAAAGGCTTTATCGAGCTTTGGAGCCAAGTTCCGGTATGGTCACGCGAACGAAACCACTTAACGCGTCCCCCACAGCGGGTTCCCCAGCAACGTGGTCCATGGATTAATTGAAGGCCCGAAGGCTTCCTTCATGCTTCCTAACCGAGATTGGCTTAGTGTGTTGTTTTTTGGAACCCATCCCTATGATACTTGGAAATTCTTCTTTTTGGAAAAACAATGGCTAGTTTCTATTAAGCTTACTTTATCGATAGTCATGAGAAGTTAATCGCAAGAAAGAAAATATAATAAAAAAAAAGTTGAAGAATAGGATGCGGGAAAATCAAACAGAAAAAAAGAGAAAAGAGGGCGAACGCCTCAATAGTCCTCAATATGAGGTTTATATTTGTATTGTTAAATAATAACACATGCATTGACAACGAAGGTACGGAGTAGTACCTAATGTCCATCCCGTGTTTACCTAAATTGCCCGAAACAAACCTGAAGCCCATGTTTGATGCCTTGCAGCCAGCAGGAGGGGACTGTCCGCAACTCCTCACTTTAATGAAAGCGTGCCAACTCATCCATTTGCAATGATTTTAGGTACTGTATGTAACTTACAGGTTAAAATAGAATTTTCCCAATGTAAGGCACGAGTGAGGAGAAGAAGGGCAGAGGTAGGGTAGCAAAAAATAATAATTAATAAAAAAAAAGGGCAAAGAGAGTAATTAATTTAAGCTGATGCACATGGAGGGCTGAATAGGATTTCTTTTTTTTCCTACGTGCTAGTACTAAATGAACCTCCCTATGTTTAATCAAGACCGTGGTGGATAAGAGTAAAAGAGTAGTACACTCTGGGGTTGCCCGGACCACCCAAAACTTATCAATCTTAAGCT